AATCGGCGGGCGCGAGGCCCCGGCGCTGCTTTGCATAAAGCAATATTTTGTGTGGGAGCGAGGGGGGCATTTGCATGTGGCGGAGTGATTAGTGGGTTTGAAAAGCGAACCGTGGTGGCTCGGCCTCATTTCCCGCTCTGGTTCAGGCGCAGGAGGAAGTGTTTTGCTGGAGGATGATGACAGAGGTCAGGCTTCGCTAATGGGCCAGTGAGGAGCGGTGGAGGCGAGGCCGGGCGCCCGGCACACACACATTAGCACACTTGAGCCATCACCAATCAGCATAGGTGTGCTGGCTGCAGCCACTTCCCTCACCCACACTCTTTTATCTCTCGCTCTCCAGCCTGCTGACAGCCCATTTTATTGTCAATCTCTGTCTCCTTTCCCAGGGATCTGAGAATTGCTCTCACACACCAACCCGGCAGCATCCGTGGAGGGAACTCTCGCCAGCAACTCCTCTAAAACACCGTCATTTCAAACCGTGGTGGTCTCTAAGCAGCAATAACAGCCACAAAAAAACCCTCAACACCCAAGCAAACAAAACTCTTGACAGGAGATTGGACGGGAGAGGATGCCTCATAAAGGTGAGTCCGCTTCTTCTCGCTTCATTTTTTTTAATTGCAATATTCAGGCAGGTATCCCCCGTCTTCCCCACCCCCCTTCCTTCCTCCGGTCTCGCCGGTCCCCCCCACTTCCCTCCCCCATTGCTACGCCCCGGAGAGTAGGGGCCGGAGAAGTTTCCAGGCTGGAGCCCAAACTTTGTACTTCCAGCAAAAGCAAAAGCCCGCGTCGGAGGGCGACTGCTGGCGAGCGGGAGCGGGAGCGGCGCTGGGCTCCGGGGCCGGCGGCCGGCTCACTCCCAGCGCCTGCACCAGCGAGGGCTGAGCTCACAGAAGCACCGGGGCTCCCGGCCCCCCATCAACTCCAAATGCTCCCGGCTCGCAGGAGAGGAGGACGAAGCTCTGAGGTGCTCCAGGCCCCGGAACGGCTGCCGGGACCAAACGCTGCCGGCTGCTTTGTCCAGCCGAGGGCCCGGGGAGTGCGCAGGGAGCGGGCGCACCGAGGGAGCGCCAAGGAAGCCAGCTCGCCGCTCCGCCGCCTCCTCGCCCACCCTCCGCCTTTGTGCAGCCTGGGCCCGGGCACACAAGTCCGCTGGCACTCAAGCGCCGAGGGGCACCGCGCCCGCCGCCGTCCGCTGGAGCAGAGTCGATCGGCAAGGCAACGGCACGCTGGATGCAGAGAGAAAGGCAGTGCGAGCGGGCGCCGGGAAAGAAGGCGCCAGGCCAAAGCGGTCGAACGCGCGCTCCGAGGGAGCTCTGAGCAGAACACAGGATCGATCATCTGCTTCCTTCAAGCCCTCAGGCTCTCGCCCTCAACTTGAGCGCAGAACTCGGAACTTGCAAACTCTCTGACTCCCCACGCTTCCCCCAACCTTCGCCCTCGCCCTGCGAAAGCTGGGGTCCTCCTTCTCCTCCAGCCCCCAGCGCTCGGTGGGTATGTTTCCTTGTCTTCCTCTGACAATGCTGCACTCGGTGTTGCCATTTCAACAAGTTTTCGAGGTGGAAAAGTGGATTGGATTGCTTTATTAAAAAAAAAATCCCTAATTTTTCTAAATTCCCTGATTTTTTTTTCTTTATAAGGCTTTACAAAAATCCATGTGAAAACACTGGCTTTCCCCTTCGTCTGATCACATCCTCTCCCAGCCAATTACTCCGAGTAATTTGAGAGCTTTTTGATTGATTCTAAGACCCCAGGAGGAAACGTGTCTTTTCAAAGTTCATAAAGTTGTTGCCTCTTTCCTTGTGAGGATTTTCTCGGTCTCTGTGTTCCATAATAGGCCTGAATTTTAGCAAGTGTAATTGGTGGGAAATGGAGTTGAATTTCAAGTGGAAATGCTTTCTCTCTCTTGTATTTTTTTTTTGTGTGTGCTAAAACCCGGCCCTTCAGTCTTGAGTGATTTCTGCAAAGTTTAAAAACAACGTGAACGTGGGATCTTTTTCTCTCATTCTCTGCACAGCTCCTTAAGCCATTTTGGATGTTTAACTCGAACTTGGGAAGGTCGAGGAGGGGCGGGAGCAGAAAATGAAATAAAAAGCAAAGAGCTTAAAAGCTCGGTGAGTTTACCTAGGAGAAATAATAGTTGTTGCCGTTGACATTACATTTTTTATAGCCAGTGACCTTTGCAAAACGTCCGAAGGCAATTTGATTAGTTGCTATCTTATTTGGCCCTAGAGAGTAAAACTTTGTCATTTTAATTGCTAATTACTTTTTGGCCTTGGGGCCGTGAGGGACAAAAGTGAGCTTTCCCCTCCACCCCAGCTACGGAGTTTGGGGTTGGATTTTGAGAATTAAGTAATTTTAAACATCAGCATTTGAAAGCTGAGACTTGTGTCAGGAAGGCTGTGGCCCAGTGGCCTAGTGGACCAAGGCTCAGGCGACTTCCAACTGTCTGGAAACTCCTTGATTCCTGGTGCGAGTCCCTGACCCGTCTAGGGCTTTAGGGACCCTATGGCTGAGCTTGGAGGGAGGGGGCTCTGGCCGAGGCTGGGGGTTCTCAACTCTCCTGGCGGCGTGTTTGCTTCCGTGCCCAGCCTCTCAGATTGCTTTTTGCACTTTAGCGATTACTTAAGCAATTAGATAGATTCTCAGCCGAGAGGGGGTGGGAATGGAGGAGAACCGGAATTTGAAACGCTTTCCCAGATGCTTCGAAAATTACTCGGTTAGGCCTCTCTGTAATCAGCTACTGAATTCTTTTTTTTAAAAAGCATCCAGAATGTACCTGCTGGGATGGGGGCATTCTCTGGTGTTTGAGCACAGAGTGGTACGGAGAAGGAGTTCGGAAGTTTTAAGCCTTCTGGAGTATTTCGATACTCCTCTTCGGCCTGCTACCACTTTGCCTTTTCAGAGTCCCACTTGGAGGGCATGTGTGGGGGGGTGAGAGGAGGGCACAGACGCATTCTGAACCAAGTTGGGGTTTTTGCCTGGTGGAGGCATGACCGTGGTCAAGGGGACTGAGAGGTGGGAGGCCTGGAGAGCCAATGCAGCTAGGCATAACTAGGTAGCCCTCTGCTGTCTCCAATCTTTACCAGGCCAAATTTGGAAGCTGGGAAGAAATGTTCCTCGTAAGTTTATTTTTATGGATTTAAGCTGCCTCCCAGCTAGGTAATAAACTAGATCCTGAATGGCTTTGGAGGGGGGAAAAATTATGCTTCTTGGAATTTCTTGCTTGCAGGCAGGCAAAATTAATAATCAGAATAGGCAAAACAGGAACAAAAAAGAGTATTTTAGTGTTTTTTTTTTAAACGGGGAGAAATGATGCTGTGACTATTTAATTATTTTACTTCTTTTTTTTTTTTTTTTTTTTTTTTTTGCCCAAACCATTTGAATGGACTCTTCATTGTATTTCTCTCTTCCCAATTGAGCACCCTACGGTGCCCTTGTATCTTTTTACAGCCCCTAACAATTCACACCAGTAACACAATTACCTCCAGATATTTATAACGAGAAATTACTTTTCTATTTTCTCTCCCCTCCCCCAAAAACCTTCTCAGGGGACGGATGGTAGGAGGGGTGGTGGAGAATGAATCTTGGGGGAGACAAGCACCAGGTCAGGATTTACAATACAAGAAGTGTCCCTCTGTTCCCTTTGTGAGTTGGTGGGTTGTTGGTACGTGTGGTTGGAAGCTGTGTTGCTGGTTAGGGAGAGTCCGTCTTGCTCTTTGGGGATGGGGAGAGCTGGAGAATAGAAGCCATTGTTCACTGTCTGTAGGCTTTGTCAACCACGCTCACCCCCTCCTGTTCCTACTTTTTAAAGCAGTGAGGCGAGGTAGACAGCGTGTGTCCCAGTACAGTAAAAGGGGGGACGATCTAAACACCAAAAGAAAAGTTAATCACAATAAGTGAGGTTTGGGGGGAAAAAGTTGGGCTCACCACATTCAAAGTCCAAGAAAGGCTGGGAGATGGGTGGAGGAAGGGCCTGGCTGGGAAGCTTTGAAGGGGAGAGTGAAGGAGAAAGTGGTAACCAGAGAGTTGGGTTCTGGGGGCCTTAGGCGGCTGGGTGGTAAAATTCCTCAAGTAGAGGATGGCTCTGCAGCCCTCCCGACCAGCCCCAGCCTGCACTCTCCTGCACCCTGAAGTTCTGAGGTCCTCTTCCCTTCACCTCTAAACTTCGTATATGCACCTCACTACCCCCCATGCCACCGTTTCTCTTGTTCTTTCCCTTTTCCTTTCCCTGGCTCTAGATATTTTTTGCAAATGGGGCCTGGCTTGTCAGATTCTCCAGTCCTCCCAAGGCAGGCCAGAGCAGTCACTTCTAAAAGGTAGAGACTTCTGCGGGAGAGGCTGCCGAAAACGTGGGTGCAGCTCTGAGATGTAGGGGTTTAGGACAGTGTGAGTCCTAGATGAGTATTTTTGTTTTGTTCTGTTTTGTTTTGTTTTGTTTTCTGAGAGCGTGGCTCAGGGAACCCGCGGCCTTTGCTTTTGAGCCACAATCTGACACACCTTTCTCGCCTTCTGTTTTATCTTAGGGGGAAGACCTTAACTAGGGGCGCGCAGATGTGTGAGACCTTTTATTGTGAGAGTGGACAGACATCCCAGATTCCAGGCAAGTTCTGTGGTGGCTTGAAAGCTGCGTTGGGATCCAAAACCCTACAGATTCAGAACGCTTCTTCATTGTTGTTCAGATGGAAGAAAAAAAAATCAAAATAGGGTCATCCTTTCTTCTGATGAAAGGGTTTAATACTTAGGGGCCTGGAAGATACAGATTGGGAATACTGGAGTGTTTTATTTGTAGATTGTTGTATACCTGCAAGGTAGAGCTGGGTGACCCTCAGATAGCTCTAAGCAATTGGGTGGATTATTTCCTAAAGAGCCCCTGTCCTGGCTCCAGGTCATCCTCCATCCAGAGGCAGGCCTACCCCGCCCAGGACTAATGCCTGTGTTCTTGCTAACAGAATCCCATATCGGAGCCCCGTGGGATCCTGTGCCCCACAGCCAGTGCCAGCATGCAGAACAGTAAGTGCCTCTAGTCTTTCTCTCCTGGGACTGGGGATCCGAGGACCCAGTGGGTCAGGGGAAGGGGTCAGCTCTGACCAGGCCACCGTGGTAGCAAGGAAAAACCCCAGGGACCTAAGGCAACTGTGCCCCCATCTGCGCGTGGCAACCTGGGAGGGGAGGGCTTTTACTCCGCTGTTCTAGCTCCTGGACAAACAGGAGCTGGGCGCTTCAGAACAGCCCACTCCAGTTTGTGAAGTTGAGGTAGAGAAACCCCATCCCTCCCCCCAAATCCTGTAACTCACACCTCCCTCCCCTCCCCTGCCCGGGCTCTGACCCCAGAGAGAGGGGCTGGGCTGAGCAGAGAGGGGCGGAGGCTTCTCCTGGTTGCTCCAGGAGAAGGAGGCCCCTTTGGGCTTAGCCGAGACACAGGTCTCCTCCATGGGGCGGGGTGTGGGGCTCCCCTCCCCCAGTTGCTCCCTGGGCAGCTCCTTCCCTCTCCGCCCCTCTTGGGGCCTAGAGGGCAAGACACCCAAGCCTGCGGTGAGGTGGAGGTGGTAAACTTGTCCAGTGGGGCTGTTACTGGGCTCTTGGGTCTGGGAAAAGAGTCGGGCTCCAGCCAAGAACTTGGCAAAGCCCTGCTACAGCTGTGTGGGTGCTGGTTGTTTCCGGGGTATGCTCATAGCGCCTCTGATCCCGCCTCTTGAGTTTCCCATGTGCCCTCTGCCCAGGCCCCCAGGGCCCAGTCCACCTTCCTGGTCAGTCCAAGCGTGTTGGTATGCAGCAGGGCTAGTCTGGAGTCCGGACCTGGGAGCCTGGAGGACCAGTGAAGCCTAAATCCGGGTTGAGGTGCAGAATCTGGACTCGGGTTAAGGGCTCAGGTGTAGGACTGCAGACCAGACGGGTCCCTAGAGCCAGATGCCTCTGTCCTGGAAGCGCTGGCTGCCTCTCGGTGCCTCAGCGGCTGGTGGACGGAAGCTGGGGAGAGGACGCAAAGGTGGCAAGCTGTAAAGGGGGTTCAGTTGTGCAGAACCTGGCGGGTCCGGGGGCTGGCCCAGGAGGCACCCTTCTTGGCAGCAAAGGCTTCTGCCCACCCCCGGGGCAGCTGGGTTCTCCTCGGGCAGCTCAGCCTCCCCAGCGCTCACGGCGGGGCCGGGGAGCACAGTGCTTGCCGCTGTGGCCTGGCTGGCGGGCCCCAGGGGCGCGGGGTCGCGGGCAGGCCTGCGGGGCTTTGTGCCCCTCACTACCGGGTGTGCGCGAGGCGCGGAGCATCCAAATTGACACCATATGTTTTCCTATTAGATGCTTCGTGGTCGGATTCTAGGCGCATAATCATCGCTACTGGGCAGGAGCGCCTGCCATCCCCAGGGAGGGGACACAATGATTGAGGCTTAACCTCTGAAGGGGAACTGAGCCGCGCTGCCTCGCTGCCATTTCGATGCTGGCAGAGGCGACCTGGCCCTGGCGTCTCCTCGTCTCCTGGGCGAGCACCAGCCCATGGTCCCTGCGGAGGTGTCGGGGAAGTTGTTGTTATTATTATTATTATTATTATTATTATTTTGCAAGGGTGGGGGGAAGTCTAGGATTAGGCGGCCTCTTATGTCTTGGCATTCAGAGGTTGGGAATCGCCCAGGCTGCGCGTGAAATTTGGAAAGCCTTTCTTGGTCTCTCTCTAGGACAGCCTTTCTCTTTCTGGGGAGGCTTCCTTTGTCCAAAGGGGAAGCCCTGCAGTTGGAGGGTAGATGGGTCCTGCTGAGCCAAGGAAGGGTATTTGGGAGAGACCGGAAGCGAGAACTAGGCCTTGCTCCGTTGGAAAAGTGATGTCCCCGAGACGTCCCCACTCCTGCTGCGCCCAGGCAGAGCCCAGATCCCCCCAACGCCTGTCACTTCTCATTGAGCTTAGGCTCCAGCCCCCCTCTCGCGGTGAGGCCCCCCCTTCTGCCCCAAGCCTTTGCTACCCTGAACACGCGGCTCCCCTCGAAGGGGAAACGAGTGCGGTTCAATCTCGTCTGAGTGATCTACAAATAGGGACGGAAAGGGTCGTTTTATCATGGTCCCGTTTGTCGTGACGATGCAATTTCCCGGAGCGGAGCACTGTCACAAAGTGACAAGGCTGCCACAAGCGCCCCGACTGATCTTTTCAATTAGCCTTCCATGCATGATCCGGAGCGACTTCCGCCTATTTCCAGAAATTAAGCTCAAACTTGACGTGCAGCTAGTTTTATTTTAAAGACAAATGTCAGGGAGGCTCATCATATTTTTCCCCCCTCTTCTATATTTGGAGCTTATTTATTGCTAAGAAGCGCAGGCTCCTGGAGTCCATTTATCAGAGACTCCAAGGAGAAGAGAGGAGAGAGGAGAGGCGAGCTGAGCAGGGAGCCGCATCTCCGGGAAGGGCTGCTCTCAAGCGTCGAGGCTGCAGGTGGGAGATTTGCACGGAAGTGGAAACTGTCCACTGGCTTTCTTTCTGTGCCTGTGGTTTCTAGGGAGGGGGCTGCAGAGAGGGGCTAACTTCCTACCCCAGTTCTCTGAGATTAGACAATGGGCGAGGAGGCTGTGAGATAACAAGATAAAGGAGGGAATGGGGGGGCGGTGGGCACTGTGATTTGGTCTCTTCCTTTTCCTTTTGCTTTTTGATTTTTGCTAATATCTGTCCTTGGCTGTGAGGAGAGCTGAGAGCAGCAGTGGAAGTCAATCGAACTGTGACCGCTGTGAGCAGACCGACCCGGGCTACTTTGTGGTTGGAGCAGATCTGGGGCTCTGATCCTCATACCTGCGATAGAGGCGCTGAAACCCAGGCTAGATCCGCTAGCCCCAGATCTGCTGTTCTGGTTCTTCTCTACTCCTCCCCCTTCTCTTCTACCATATATGTGTGTTTTTTAACCCGGGTGCTTGTGTGGTGCCTGCGCCAGAGTTTGGAGTGTGACAGCAAACAATTCTGGATTCAAACCTCCGTGGAAGCGCTGGAAGGCAGTGGGATTTGCTCTTACAGTCTCAGCAACGCGGAGAGCTTGGAGGTTCCGTGTGGGTTCTGGGGAACCGCCGTATGCCAGACACTCAGAAGGGATCTCTGGGAAGATATTTTTAGAGCTGATTGTTTGCGTCTTGTGGGTTCAGAGGCTGGTTGGGGTGTTTATGAGGAGGGACAGTGGTCTGGGGACAGGCTGGGGTGGTGCCATAGTGAGGTGAGTGTGTTCTTGCTCCTTGGCAGGTGTCTGCCTGCCTGGTGCTTCTGCAGTCCAGGGGACAAGGGTATGGCTGTGATTGGGGCTGGGCTGCCGGATGCCCTGCATGGCTGCACGGTCCTGTTGTCATTTTTGATCGATTGCAGGGACCTGATCACCAAGGTTGGCAGGAGTTGGCAGGGAGCTGAGGATGCATTTGGTTGTTTTCTCCTCCTCCTCCTTCTCTTCCTCCTCTGTTCTCTCTTCTCCTCTGCTCTCCCCTCTGTTCCTCTCTTCTCCTCTGCCTTTCCTTAGGTCACAGTGGAGTGAATCAGCTAGGTGGTGTCTTTGTCAACGGGCGGCCACTGCCAGACTCCACCCGGCAGAAGATCGTGGAGCTAGCGCACAGCGGGGCCCGGCCGTGCGACATTTCCCGAATTCTGCAGGTGATCCTCCTGGCGTGCCCCACTCGCCGCCCCTGCGGCCCTCCACTTTCAAGGCCCTCTCTTCATTTCTTACTGTAAACTGCTGCTAATGATGGACCCCCTCCCTCACCCCCCCACCCCAGTCCTCATGCCACTCCCTGACTTCCTGCTTTCCCCTTTCCTTCCACCATCCTCCCTATCCTTTTCAACCTGGTCAGTCACATAACTCATCTGCTTAAAAAAAAAAAAAAAAAAAAAAGAGTGTGTGAATTAAAAGAAAAAAAAACTTTCTCTTTTCACTTGGTAAAAAACATTTATGTTTTTAAATGTACTATCTTTTATGTGCTAGAATAAGCTGAGTTTTACAAAACCGGCATAATTGCATTTTCTTCTCTCTCATCCCATGCTTACTTCAGATTTTGATATTGGTGTGCATATGATAAACTAAGGAAGAATATGTATATTTATTTAAAAAGACAAGTGCTATTTACCTCCCTCCATAGCTCTCATGTACTCAATTTGGTATATTTTAAAAGGAAATATTAAGTTTAAGTTCAATTTACTTTACCCCTTTGCTCATTAAAACATGACATCACTTTAAACAAAGTTTAAAACACACACACAAATATGACTTCGTTTTGATGCATCTTCTGGCAGTGTTTAAGAAAACAGTTTTTTTTATTTAAATTAGTTTTTTTTTTTAGTTCAAACTGTTTAAAAGTATCATCCTATTTGTAGTTTTCAGGGCTACAAATGTAATTTTAAGAGAAAAAAAAAAAGCTCTCTACAGTAAGTTCTCGTACCATTGAAGGTATATTTTTGTGTTTATAGACCCATGCAGATGCAAAAGTCCAAGTGCTGGACAATCAAAACGTAAGCTTGTCATTGTTTAATGCATACTTAAACAATTTTATTTTTGTCTTGAAATTATTAATAATGTGGTTTTCTGTCCACTTCCCCTATGCAGGTGTCCAATGGATGTGTGAGTAAAATTCTGGGCAGGTATTACGAGACTGGCTCCATCAGACCCAGGGCAATCGGTGGTAGTAAACCAAGAGTAGCGACTCCAGAAGTTGTAAGCAAAATAGCCCAGTATAAGCGGGAGTGTCCGTCCATCTTTGCTTGGGAAATCCGAGACAGATTACTGTCGGAGGGGGTCTGTACCAACGATAATATACCAAGTGTAAGTTCACTGAGAACACGCCCCTCCCTGCCCTAAGCTCCACTCTCCCTCCTCTTTACCATATCTTTCTTCACCTCCTTCTGCTCTCCTCCCCACCTTGTCTGTCTCCTATCTCCTCCCTGCTCTACCTCCCTGCTCTCTGTATCTGGGGATGTTGAGAGGAGCATCCTGACCTTTCCTTGATTTTCTGGAAAATGGGAGTCAAGTGTGGGAAGTTGGTCACCTCATTTGCATGCTGCATAGTAGAGGGCGGAGGCACTTGAATCAAGAAGGAAAATTAAAATGAAAACCAGATCCTAACTCCCTCCAAATCTGCCTGCCTGAACATTCCTTCAGGCGTCAAACATCCGTTTCTGCGCTAATATAAAAAAGTGCAACAAAGCTCTAAATAAGTCTTGAGAATTTTTGGAAATCTTTTAACAAAGTAAGGCAACTATGTGATCAGTCACCAGAGACCCTCTTACTCACCAGTTTTGACTCAGCTCAGTTTCTGTGCCCAAAGTGATGGCTGTCATTCTGTCCATCATGTCCTTGCAAATCAGCCTACACTGTCCCGTCCCATGATGGTTGGGAATATTTTTAAAGATCTATTAAGAGTTGCTTTTTTAGGGGGTGGATGCATGGAGTTGGGGATTTAAGACAGAGTGGCCTTGTTTTTAGGAGACACTACCATTTGGTTTGATTTGGGTTTGATTTGCAGGTGTCATCAATAAACAGAGTTCTTCGCAACCTGGCTAGCGAAAAGCAACAGATGGGCGCAGACGGCATGTATGATAAACTAAGGATGTTGAATGGGCAGACCGGAAGCTGGGGCACCCGTCCGGGTTGGTATCCAGGGACTTCAGTGCCAGGGCAACCTACCCAAGGTAAAAACACCAAGCAACCGTCTAATGCTCCCTATATGCAACCCATAATCTTCTCCCCAACCTTTCCCTGTCTGGGCTTCTGTGCTTAGAGGATGCGGTGGGTTGACTCTTCAAAAGCTTGGGATACTTGATTGTACTGCATGTAGGGGGTGTTTATTGAACTCTCTGGTTGGCCTGGGAATGCAAGAGCTATGTCAGGAGTAATATGAATGTAAATGGTGTGTAATATGTGTGTTATGAGCAAGAGTATGTGCCTGTGTGTAAGAGCTAGCTTTGTGATACCTTATTCCAAGTTGCCATTCAAATGCACAGAAAGTCTCTTTGCTGTAGAAGTGAGACAGGTTAATACTGACAGGCTGTGAGGTAAACAGAATTGTATCATTTTGCTTTCTGCCATAATTGACAGATTATGTGACTATGAGTAGGGCTCAAATGAGAGAGGGTGAGCAGAGAGACCCATGGTTGGTCGAGTGGAGAAGGGGGCATTGGGAGTGGTGGTCTCCCAGCTAAAACACCCCCACACTCTCTCCAATCTTCCGGGCCCCCAGTTCTCACTCTCTATGGGAGGCAACTGCTTAGAGGGGTGGAGTAACAACAGTGTGAGCCAGAAGTAGGATGCCCGGGTCTGGGAGAGAAGATAGAGGTGGGGTGGGGCCGTTGACTCCTTCTCCTCCACACACACAGAGGTAGCTTGGTCAAGAATAGGAAACAGTTTACTGGGAAGATTAATTGGTATTTGTTGTCCTGGTGACAAGGAGATAATATGTGAGATAATGGGACATGGCGTCTTACTCCCCAGAGCCCGTCCTAGCCTGGGGGCTTCTGGTTCGTGGGGGCTGCTGCGCTGGACGCTGACGGGACTGCCCGCGCCACCGCGCGCTCCCAAGGCGGCTCCACGGAGCCGGACTAGAGAAGGGAAAATCGGTAACAGTATGCGAAGTAACTGGTACAAAGGATGCTTCTGTCACTCCCAAGAATTTGTTATGGGAACAATCCTGTCGCTCTGTAATTGCTCATTAGAGAACGTTTTGTTTCTCATTAAGGCGACATGAATAAGCGTCTCGTTGAAGGAGACAGCTGTAGAAATGTTCCACAAGAGACCTCTGGACACGATTCGGCACCAATTGCCAATTAGACATGTCAGTGTTAAGAGCAGAAAACAATATAGGACGGACACTGGGAAGATAGGGAGCAAAGCGCTGGGTCCCGGTTTCCCAGCGCCGCGCTCAGCCGGCCAGAGCTTCCCGATCCTCCGAGCTGGGCGACCCGCCCGCCCGATCCCCTCCCTCCCCGGATCGCCCAACCCGCCGCCTCCCGGAGCTCCGCAGGCACACCTGAGGATCCGCCTCCCACCCGGCTGCAGGCCCAGGCCCACTGCGGCGTCTGCTGAGGGCGCGGGGCTGACATGGTTAAGTGGGGACCACCACACCCTCACTTGACCTTTGCAGCTTGGAGCCCCACGTGCGCACAGTGGACACACTCAAGTGAAAGCGCACTTCCCCCTCCACTGCGCCTGCCGCCAGCTCCCCAGCGGCCCCGGGCCTCCAGCCGGCTGGGTCCCACAAGCTGACCCCGAGCCTCCGCGCTGGCCCCTCGGCTCTTGGGCCCAGGCTGCAGAAGCCCAGGCTGCAGCTTTGCTAGCCCCGCCGCTTCCCGTCCGGGCGGCGCGGCTTCGGGCAGCTTTTTGTCTCCGGGAGCGCGAGGGCGGGAAGCGATTTCCTACCCGCCGGGACCTGGTGCTGGCGATTGGGGCGGGAACTTAGTACGTGCAGCAGCGAGTTGCTGGAGAATTTCCCAACTAACTGCCAGCCAGCCCCGCTTCTGCTCCCGCACAAAACCCAAGTCTGTGCCCCGATCCCGGCGCGGGGGCAGCGCGCGTCTCGCACACCGAGCGAGCGAGGGAGTCCGCGCGTGGGGGCCGCGGGCGCCGGTGGGGAGCTTGGGCGGACGCTTGGGGGATCTTCAGGCTTCTGGGAGTTAGCAAGGATCCCCTCCCGCGTTGGCCCCTTTCCCTGGGCCAGGAAGCCGTTTTGGGGCTTCTTAAGAGTCTCTTACTCCGAAAGCATAAGGCGAGGTTAGGTCTCAGAGGGAGACAAGTACGGTTTCCATCCAATCGACCCCACGCGGCAGTGGATAAGATCGGGAGGACGTGGGCTGACAAGAGACAACTCTATCCGGCCCCAGTTCTCCGGCGATTTGGGTTTTAGGGATCACGAGACACTTTTTCTTATCTCCTCCCCTAACCCTCACCTCCCTTCCCCCCCTCCCCAATACCCAGGCCCTCTATAGGATTTATTCAGTCTCTTTTTCAACAGATGCTACAATGTTTTGATCCGGGCCTCCCGAGCTGAAAAGGTGCCGCAACCGGGTTGCTATCTTTTCTTGCTTGTTTTCCGCCTCACTGATTAAGACACTAAGAAACTAAGGAATGATTTTATTTCCCAGCGTCCTCCCTCCCACCTCCCCTTCTCTTCCCAGAAACAAATCCCGTCCCCAGCGTCAGATGGTCCTGGGGCTGGGATAATGGGAGGCGCTTTCACTGGCCTCCGCGCGGATTAGGCTGCAAGGTGGACGGCGCCCGGCCCATTGAAGGCGCCTTCCCTCGCTCGGAGGGGGCGCCTTTTAAAGAAGATATCTTAATTGTTTGCCACTTAGCTTTATCATATGGGGAATTTGAGATCCAGCTTCTAGTTTTATTTTTGTGAAAAGCTTGAAGGGAGAAAGGTAAATCCACTAAAGGAAAAAGGGAGGGAGGGAGCAATCTAAGAGTGACCGCTCTGTCACCGCCTGGCTAGAACAGTTGCTACTATGAAAATAATAATAATAATAATAATAATAATAATAATAATAATGGTGCAGGTTTGCACCGCCAAGAGGAGTCATGGAGGGATGCTATAGTCACGGGTTTCTCCTGACCCGCTTCTAAATTCCACCCTGCCCCAAAGAAGTTTAAAATCCAGCTCCCCTCCTCTCCGTTGACTTTCCTCTCCTTAAATGCCAGTTCTCAAGTCAGTTGTGCCTGCATTTGTGTGAGATTGTGTGAGTGTTGGGGAGGGGGAGGGGGAGAGGAAGGAGAAGGGAAGTGTGGGCACATGTCCATGTTTTAAAATTAGGAAGGTGTCAGAGAAGCAAAGGAGAGCAGAGAATGCTATCATGAGGGTCTTCTGAGAGAGACCGGGCAGCTTTGTTTCATTGGCAAGATCGAATGTGCCAGAAAAAGGCCTGGGATGGGGCCTCCTGGAAGGCATGACTGATCACCCCTGCGAGATGGGATTGTGGTCTCTACAGGGCCCTGTCTCTAAACGTCCGATGACCAGTTTTTGTTTGTTTGTTTTCCAAAGCAATACCCTAGGAGCCTGTCCAGTTAGCCCAAAAGGACTATTGCTAAAGTCCTCCTCATTCACTGAACCCCCAATAAGGGTGGCTCTTCATTCTTCTCTTGAAAACAAAAACAAAAACAAAAAGCACATACAAAAAAACACTTTGCTAAGTCCCTCAGAAACCTGGGGCAGTAAATTAGTGAAGGTGTGCTGGCGTGGGCGAGTCTCTGCTGCACTCAGTAGCCCTCCCCACTCCCGCCTTTCTGAGACAGCACAAGACCACCCTAAGTAGTGCCTCTGCCTGTGACTAATACTGTCTTTCCCCCTTATCTTCCCTTTCTTCTTTCTCTCCTCTCCACCTTCTTATCTCCGTTTCCTCTCAACACTCTTTTCTGTCTTTCTTACACCTTTCTTCCTCCATCTGCCTCCCCTCTTCCCTGTCCCCTACCAATCCCGCCCCATCTTCCCTTCAGGCTTTCACCCTTATCCCCCAACCCTAGTCTCTATCATCCCTGATTATCAGCTCTCCCCCCATGCCCTCTAGTCCCCATCCACCCTTCCTGCCCCTCCCATACCCTGGCCCCCCATCCACTTTCCACCACTCCCCCTCTCCATCCCCCCAGCCAAGCCCCTAAATAGCATTGAGGCGCCCGCTCTCCGGACAGTGATTAATGATAGCGGAGCAGAGGGGTTAACACACTTCACTGAAAAGTCTGTTGACTGGGCTTCTTGTAACACAATGTGGCCCGCTGCACGCCTCAAGAGAATCCTTTTGTTGTCCGTGCTCATTGTGGCCTCAAAATTCTGCCCACGAAAGTTTGCCTGCGCTCCTGCCCCAGGAGTTTAATAGTTTCCCTTACTCTCAGGGCATTGTGCGGCACTGAAAAGCAGCCCCTCGCTATTCAAGTGTTGGTGGTCATCTCAATAGATCTCCGAGGGCCCATATGGTGGCCAGTGCCGATGAATCCGCCTGTTTAAATGGGGGAGAAAGTTGGGGTTTTAAAACATTTCAAAGTTCCTGAAAAGATCCCCACTAGATCCTGTCACAATTCCCTGAACTCTTTGAAGGCGATGCCTATTGTCTCCCGGTTATAAATGATATTCCTGGCCAAGTCGATTCCCACCAAGGCCCCCTAGAGGCCCCTTCCCTCCCCCCTACTGGCCAAGTTTCTAGGTCAGCCCCTGTTGGTATCCCTTGGGGGCCTCAGGACCCAAGACCTAGGACCCAGCTTGCCGACCCAGTCAGGGCTGAACGCTTCCCTTCAGACAGGCTGTGGCCTCCTGGGCAAGGCGCAAGACAAGCGACAGCCAGCTCAAGTGCACATCTTGCCCTCCAAGCAACAAGGGAAAACAATAAAACTTTCCCCTGTTTAATGATAGAAATTACATTAAAAGTGGTGGAAATGCCCTAATTAAAAATGTACCACTTTAAATGATGTGCCAAGGATTCAGCTGCAGCCTAGAATACTTAGCTAGTTAGTGAACTCTCTACTATTTCTTTTTTTAAATTACACGTTAAAAATTTAAAAGAAATCTTACTTTTCTCTGGTGCAACACATTACAAAGAATGGACAGTCCTTTTATCTAAATATAAAATTCGATTTTCAGCAATTATAGCCTGTTCTTGGTGATGATATAATTACAGCTGTGCTCGTAATAGGTGTCAAGGCAAAGCGCACTCATACAATAGTTGAATAAAACTGCAGAACAATGCGAGTATTTCTAAATTCACAACCTTTAAAATGAAATTGACTGTGCAGAATTAAAATAAAAACTAGATAAATATTTTTTTAAAAAGATTACAAGCTTGGTTTGGTTTCTTAATAGCATTTTCTACAAACCTATCAACATCTAATTGATTAGATAGGAATTGCTGATTATAGATCAGCTGAAATCATGAACATCACTCTTCTATTTTCCCAACACAGCCATAGGTAAATAGATTCTGTAGGGAAAGGTAACTAACTGGGTAAAGCATTTGGGGAGTCACATTTAGTTATGAAAGATCATTTGAATCGGAAACATTTAGCACTTATTTTGTCATTCGAAGAAATGTTACTTTGTAAGTATATGGTGGGGCTCATCTTGATAAAAACAGAAAGAAAAAAAAAGGTCAGGTGATGTATGTCCAAAATGCCTTTTATTAAAAAAAAAAAAAATCCCTTGGGAATGTTTTCATTAGACTGTCTGAATATACAGCTCTTCGAGTTTGTGGCTATACCAGACCCTTTGGAGGCCCCAAGTTATTCCAAATTTCTCATACTGTCCTATTCTTTTTGTTCCAGATGGCTGCCAGCAACAGGAAGGAGGGGGAGAGAATACTAACTCTATCAGTTCCAATGGAGAAGATTCAGATGAAGCCCAAATGCGACTTCAGCTGAAGCGGAAGCTACAAAGAAATAGAACATCCTTTACCCAAGAGCAAATTGAGGCCCTGGAGAAAGGTGATGGAGTTTTTCAAAGTAGAGAAACAGTAAATCAAAGTAAATGCCACAGCTTCAGTACAAAGAGCTAAATTTAGCCAGGGCCCTTTGCATTGAGGACTGAAAAGATTTCTCTCTCTCTTTTTTTTTTTTTTTGTCTCTTTATTTCTTTAATTTTTTTTTGTGTGTGGCATCTTTTCAGTGTGTGTGTGTGTGTGTGTGTGTGTGTGTGTGTGTTTTCTTTCTTCTTTTCATGTACCAATAATTCAAAGACTAAAAGTCTGACTTCTCATACTGAAAAAAAACAAAAAAAAAACAAAAAGATGAGTTGGCTAATTCAGGCCACAGAAGAGTCCTTGAATGAATGTCATTCCAAAGAGAATTTAGCTTGGTTCGGGTGGGATAGTTCCTCCAACTGTAGTAGCATTTTAAAAGGAATTGGTTGGAAGTGGGAACCAGTTGGAGTCAGGATGTGGCGGACGTGTTATGTGTAGTTCTGGCACAACAAAGAAAACTTACTCTTTCAGAGTTTGAGAGGACCCATTATCCAGATGTGTTTGCCAGAGAAAGACTAGCTGCCAAAATAGATCTACCTGAAGCAAGAATACAGGTACCCAGTTGCCCTGTGGTTTCATGCTTTGCTATTCAAACCATTTGCCTTTTCTAGAGACAAAGGTGCTTCTAATGAACTTCATTCATTTATGTAAATGGTAACAGATTCAGTGTGCTGAGTACTTTGCCACCATTGGGGAGAGGGACACAGCGAAAATTCGGGTGGTGGGTGCAGGGTTAACCTGTTCTGTCTGATTTCAGGTATGGTTTTCTAATCGAAGGGCCAAATGGAGAAGAGAAGAAAAACTGAGGAATCAGAGAAGACAGGCCAGCAACACACCTAGTCATATTCCTATCAGCAGTAGTTTCAGCACCAGTGTCTACCAACCAATCCCACAACCCACCACGCCTGGTAACGTGAAGTGTTACTACTACTAAGAAATGTGTTTAAACCCACTTGCCCTGGGCTCTGTCTCTCACCATGACTGTTGGTTGTGTCTCTTTTCCCTGCAGTTTCCTCCTTCACTTCGGGCTCCATGTTGGGCCGAACAGACACAGCCCTCACCAACACGTACAGCGCTCTGCCACCCATGCCCAGCTTTACCATGGCCAATAACCTGCCTATGCAAGTAAGTGAGGCCTGTGGCTGCCTGCTTAGCGGGGGTGGGGAGTGGGTCAGGGCCTGCAGACGTCATTGGCCGTGTATGCCCCCCTGGAAGCCTTTCTCACTACAGTGATTGGCTTGCCCAGTCTCGTCTGAGATGAAAACAGTCAATCCAGCTTTTAGTTGATTGATTGATTCATGCCCTTAAAAAAAAATACAAAAACCAGATGTTCAATCAAGTTTATCTGCTTGTTGCTCACAGAGAATGTATGTTAGCTTGATAATGGTGGGTGGGAAAGAGGCACATTTTGTATGTCAGTGAAACTTGTCCTGGAAAATGGAAATAATGCACATTATCAGATAGTAAGGGGTTGGAAATAAAGTTGGGGTTTATATTAATGTGTTCATATAATAGATTAGAGGCCAGGTGCATGACATTTGTACACTGGGAGGGGGTGTTTCTCAGCCTAGCCTGTGCCCTCTCGCAGTCCAGGACCCCTTGGGGGATGTCTGCCTGCCACATAGGTGGGGGAGGCTCCCACCACTGCTGCTGTGCTTGCCAGCCATGAGTCTGGGCTTCTGGCTGAGCAGTGTTCTCTCTGTGGGAGCGCAGTGACCACCAGGGGCGTCTCCTGTGTTAAGCATCTGCCCCCTGGTGGTCAATACATGTCATAGTAACCAGTCGTTCCCCTGTTCAGTTGATTTGCATATTAGGGTTTTATTACATAGGATATATAATCTGTGTATGCATTTTGGACATTATATGTGATAAACTAGTGAGGAAGATAAAATGGGTCAGAAATGGGACTCATATTTGCATAGCGGTATATGCTTAATATAGAGAAATAGCTAGTTTTCTTTGTACATCTTACAATAAAGAAAAGACACAGAAGGTATTGGCTAGAAATTTAGTGTGTCTTTGCTGAGAATTATGTGATGAGTTTGTGGCACTCCAAGCTGCCTGGGATGATGCTATGTACTTGGTATAACAACCTGTCCCTACCTACTATCAATTCTGTCCCAGATATTGATCAGCCCCTACACATGCCTGCGAGAGGGCACAGGCCAGGCTAAGAGACACCCCCTCCCAGTGTACAAATGTCATGCACCGGGCCTCTAGTCTATTAAGGTTAAGCCTTTATGGTGGAAGTTATACAGTGCAGGTGGCGTGTACTAGAACTTTGCAGCTGATTGGATTCTGGATGGGGGAAAATCTGGTCTTCTGCTGGGCCCTCCGCAGTGACTTTCCTAGGACTCCTGCCTGTGCAACAATTACGGATGCCAATGGTGTGAGATTGGCCAGCATGAGCCCCTTCTGGAACCAGTTCTGTGGTCACAGAGTGTTTATTCTCCACTGAATATCTTTTGCTGGGTTTCTAATCCAAGTAACAGCAGAATAAGTGTTTCACAGTCTTCAGACCAATACAGGAGCAGCTAGATAAGCAACTTCAGAAGCATTATTTCCATGTTTATTTTTATTGCACCTGGATATGATTGGCCATGGTGCAATTATTGTAAATTAAAGGATTAACAGCCCATTAGTTGGTCTTACTACAACTGCCTTGGAATTTTCCAGAAGTCTGATTGCCTGGAGGAAGTGATTTGGGGAATTAGAAACAAATGCAAGCTGAAATTCTGGCAGGGCCCTCAAGGCCTGCTTGCCTCTTCGAAACTGCTGTTAGCAGTCATCCTCTGACTTGAGGAAGGCCACTGAGTAGCTTATTCTGTTCGGTTTTGTAAATTGTAGCAACACCTAGGTTTTTGTGAAGATAACCAAATATGTACAAGGAAATGCAATAGAAACAAACAGATGCTGCTGTTCTATTAGGGTTGTTTTCACATATAAACTGGCATGGGTCAATTGATTTCTCTGACTTTAAAAACATTACACAACCTGTACACCCCAAAATATACATGCATTCATAAAGACTAAAGAAAATAAAAATATCGGTGATTCTGTTCAGAGAAAATTACCCTTTGAATTTTGGAGTGGGAGCAGGGGTTGCTGGTGTTTGTGTGGAGCTAGCCTCTCTGTCCATCACTTCATCATGTTGACCAAAGTCTTCCACCATTTTACAAAAAGATTGGGTGCCCTCCTCTGAATCTTCTTTAATGTGTCATGCTTTCTAAGACTGTGGATGTTGCAATGTTAAACATGTCTATAGTTTGCAGAGTGCAGTAGTACTATCATCTTCTCCCTTGTTTCTGACATTATGCTTCTATTGATTTATCCTAAGTTGTCTGTCTGTGAGGGTTCATGGGTTTTGCCCCAGTTCTGTATATTTCTCATTTAGTTAGGAGAAAGGCTCATCTCTTTTATATCACCATTGCAACACCATTTTAAGGACAAAATCCAGGCTGGGTTTGTGGGTCTATAAGGAAGATTTAGCTAATTCTTAGGATGCGGCAAGGTATTTACTGACACTTCTAACTACTTTAATACGAGATCATTACTGATCTGTCTCTTTAAAGAATCTTTAATCCCATGAGTCCAGCCATGAAAGGCTCCCAAAGTCCCCAAACCCAACTTCATTGAGAGCTCCTCCCACTGCTCCCTGCCTCACAGCTTGGGATTTGGGGGTCACTGGGTTCTCAAATAGATTGTATTTACCGAAGAAGGGATGTGTTTTAATGAAGGTCTTCATGCTATAGCTTCTCTAAAGATGTCAGCAGAGATCCAAGACAAAAATGCACAAAAGTCCTATTAATTTTATGGGTAGTGCCACCGTCTACCTGGGCAGTTGTCTAAATTTGTAGTACATTTATTTATCTAAAATATTGTTATGGATCTCAGAGATGAAGAGAGAGAGAGAGAGAGAGAGAGAGAGAGAGAGAGAGAGAGAGGCAGAAACATCAATGATGAGAGAGAAACATTGATTGGCTGCTTCTTGCATGCCCCACACTGGGGATCCAGTCTGCAACCTGGGCATTTGCCCCTATTGGAATTGAACCATGACCTTCTGGTTCATAGGTTGACACCCAACCACTGAGCAGGGTTGTAGTACTTTTAGTAGTTTGGTGTGTAGGCAGTTTTACTCTAGCAATGGCCAATGGAAGGACTAGTTGGAGGCCTGATCTTAAGAGTTCCCACATGGAATTTTCCAGTTCTTTACATGAGGACATCTTCAATGGTCAGAGCTGCTGGCAGAGTTCCTTGGGAGGAGGGAGCTTGGGGATGTGGCTGTGTGATGTGTTTCTCTGTAACCACAGGCTTGTCTTTCTCCTCTCAGCCCCCAGTCCCCAGCCAGACGTCCTCGTACTCCTGCATGCTGCCTACCAGCCCTTCGGTGAATGGGCGGAGTTATGATACCTATACCCCGCCACATATGCAGACACACATGAACAGCCAGCCAATGGGCACCTCGGGCACCACTTCCACAGGTGAGCTGCTCCTCCTCAGGCTGCGCAGAGGTGGCCTTAGGAGCTTCTTTTGCCAGGTGATCTCTCTATACTCAAAGTTGACCTAAAGAAAACACACACACCACACACACTCTCTCTCTCTCTCTCACACACACACACACACACACACACACACACGCACACACACATCTCCTGGCCTTGTGTGATCCTGTGTTTAACTCTTTATTGCTTGCTTTTCTGGGGAAAAGTGATTGAAAAGGGAAATTCAGCCAACCTAGTTAGTAACTTGACACTATACAGACAGAAAGCAAAGTTGTTCTTCCTGAGGTTGTCTGTAAAGCCAAGGCCCAAGAATGTGAGGTCTCAGAGGAGCGATCATTAGCCATAGTTCAACAATTAGGGCTCCCTGAGCTGCACGGTGAGTGTTTACTGCAAGACTTCTCTCCCTGCTAGCTCCTCTGTACTTCTCATTGCAGCTGAAGTACCACATTGGTTTTCCAGAGATAGTTTTATCACAAAGTCCCAAAATACAAACCAATGGGGCGTTTTTGTTTGTTTGTTTGTTTGTTTTTTTCTTGTGTATAAGGCAGTGGTCGGCAAACTGTGGCTCACTAACCACATACGGCTCTATGGCCCCTTGAGTGTGGCTCTTCCACAAAATACCACATGTGGGCGCGCACTTACAGTGGATTAAAACTTTGTGGCGCATGTGCAGAAGTCGGTTTTCGGCTCTCAAAAGAAATTTTAATCGTACTGTTGATATTTGGCTCTGTTGACTAATGAGTATGCCGACTGCTGGCATAGGGGACTTGGATTCAATAAGGGTGTGTAAAATGTTATGTGGCTCCTGAAACTGTTACTTTGGTTTGTAACACTTCAAGATATATGAAAATACAGTAAAAATGTTAGAATGCATTAGAGCTCATTATCTTAAATATGAAGTCATACTCCTTGCCTATCTCTCGAAGGGAATATCTACATGGCTATTTTTTTTCACTCACTTCTAGGACTCATTTCCCCTGGTGTGTCAGTTCCAGTTCAAGTTCCTGGAAGTGAACCTGATATGTCTCAATATTGGCCAAGATTACAGTAAAAGAAAAAAAGAAAAGAAAATATATCATGTTAATTCAGTCAGTGACTATGTGGACACAACAGTTGGGCGTTCAGGAAGGAAAGGAAAATGGCTGTTAGTAGCACTTCAGTTCTGCGATTGTGCCCCGTGTTGTACCACAGGGGCATGGACTTGGAACAAGGACCTTTGTATACAGAAGCACGAGATCGGTTGGAACAAATCTTCATTTTGGTATCCAAACTTTTATTCATTTTGGTGTATTATTTGTAAATGGGCGTTTGTATGTTATAATGAAAAAAAGAACAACATAGACTGGATGGACATTTGATCTGTGCTGGTCATGAAGTTTTTCTTTCTTTCTTTCTTCTTTTTTTTTTTTTTTTTTTTAAGGAAACCATGATCAACAAGCTTTGCCATGAATTTAAGAGTTTTATCGAGATATATCGAATACTTCTACCCATCTGTTCATAGTTTATGGACTGAGGTTCCAAGTTTGTATCATTCCTTTGCATATAATTAAACCTGGAACAAAATGCACTAGATTTATGTAAGAAATATCTGTTGGTTTTCCAAAGGTTGTTAACAGATGAAGTTTATGTGCAAAAAAAGGGTAAGATATAAATTTGAGGAAGAAAAAAGTTGATAGCTGAAAGGTAGAGCGTGTCTTCGATATAATCCAATTTGTTTTTTGTCAAAATGTAAGTATTTGTCTTCCCTAGAAATCCTCAGAATGATTTCTATAATAAAGTTAATTTCATTTATATTTGACAAGAATACTCTATAGATGTTTTATACACATTTTCATGCAATCATGTGTTTCTTTTTTGGCCAGCAAAAGTTTATTGTTCTTAGATGTAGCTGTATTACTGTTCACAGTCCAATCATTTTGTGCATCTAGAATTCATTCCTAATCAATTAAAAGTGCTTGCAAGAGTTTTAAACTTAAGTGTTTTGAAGTTGTTCACAACTACATATCAAAATTAACCATTGTTGATTGTTAAAACCATGCCAAAGCCTTTGTATTTCCTTTATTATACTATTTTCTTTTTAAGCTTATAGTGTGGTGTTACAAATTTTGTTCCCATATTGGAGTAGCATTCTAAACCAATGGTTGCTATCATACATTCTCTATTTTAAATCCCGATGATCCTTAAAGAAATAATTCTTAAAGATATCATAAATTGGAAATGGGTTAGAAAAAAATTCCACTTGAAAATGCATGTAGCTCTGTGCCCATTGATGCCCACAACACACATACTAAATGGAAACATTTTCCAGCTAGCCATTTAATTCAAAAGCTCAAAGTCTAGAAATAATTTAAAAAATGCAACAAGCTATTAACTAAGAATTGTCTTTTGAATTAGGGCTGGCATTTTCAATCTGGGCAGATTTCCATTGTCAGCCTATTTTAACAGCAATTTCACTGAAGTATATTCAAAAGTAGATTTCTTATACAAGACTCTGAAAGCTGTTGCCTTTCTCCCTTTTCTCTCTCCCTCCCCTTTGCACAGAGGCATCATTCCCCATTGAACCACTACAGCTGTTCCCATTTGAATCTCCCTTTCTGTGCGGTTGTGGAAGGTTGGAGGGTTGGAGGGTGGATGTTGCATGTCAAGGAATAATGAGCACAGACACATCAACAGACAACAACAAAGCAGACTGTGACTGGCCAGTGGGAGTTAAAGGCCTTCAGTCATTGGCAGCTTAAGCCAAACATTCCCAAATCTATGAAGCAGGGCCCATTGTTGGTCAGTTGTTATTTGCAATGAAGCACAGATCTGATCATGTTTAAAGTGGCGGCACGCAGGGCAGGAGTGCTTGAGCCCAAGAAAAGGATGGAAGAAAATAAGCCTTTGTTGTTTTGAAAACCTGTCTGAGACTTTTATTTCTGTATGTTCCGTGCAACATGTAAGTCAATATAGAGGAGTTCCCTTCTGCAAACTTCCGTCAAAGGAAGGCCTGGGGTCCTGGGATTGTAGATTAAATGCTAGCACAGGCACAAACCTCTGGGACAAAGACACACTTCCACTGAATTGTACTGTGCTTTTTTTTTGTTTTGTTTTGTTTTGTTTTGTTTTGTTTTGTTATGTTTTGAATCCCCAAAAGCAAATGACCAGAAATATAGAAATTAGTTGGAGGCTTTAAAAAACAACCTTCTACCTCCACGTGTCCTATTTTCTTGTTAAGGAGTCACTAGTGAAGAGATCATTGTGATTCATCTCTCTGGCATGCTATGTGTTAATGCTTTTATTCCATCAGAGTTGCTGTGCATTTAGAGATACCTTCCAAGGTTGACTGTAGCTTTTTTATATGTGTGTGTAGTTTGAGTCAATGTCAGTCTGCACTGCATGCTTGCACACCTCTGCTATTCAGTTCTGCTACAAAAGATATAGGGCGGTAGCACTCACAGAGCGTGTCACTATCTAAGCTTAAATTACATCGCAGCTTCCAAAGACGCAGGCAAACCTCACAGGATGTGTCAAGTGCAGACCAAAAGTGAGAAGGTGGCTGGTGGAAAGAGGCAGACATACATATGCACTGTTGGTACCGTTGCCCCATGCAGGTGTTTCTACCTCCTGACATTTCACAGCCTACATTCCCAGAGGGACGTGTGTCCAGGGAACTGTCAGAATAGCTATATGTGGTGCGTGCTGCAGCTGCTGCCTGGCTTCTACCCTGGGAGAAGGGGGACAGTTTCCAACCGGCTATGATTTGGGCCAGGGTCAGGCAAACAGTTCTGACCTGTGGCTCTATTGTGTAGCGTATAGTCTTTGGAGAACTGGTGGCCCTTGGGTGCAGGAGCTGGGAATGGGAGAAGAGGAGTGCTGGGGGAGTGGACAGTCTGTGTGTGTGCACTTGGGCCTGTGTGTATATACACACGTGACCTCTGAGGGTCTAGACTTCCAGGTCACAATGGCACGACCTGGTTGAGTTGGAAGAAGTGGCTGCCCAGCTGCAAAAGCCCTCTGGTCCAGCAGGATGAAAGGTTGCCCTGCCTTCTGCCCTCACCCTGGGGAGATGAGCTGTACCCTGCAGCTCTAGGCACCCTCCCGGGGACGGCATGGCCAGCACTGTGGGGGAAGCAATGCCCAAGAGGCCGACTTCGACTCATTGTTGAAAACGTTCATTTATTTACAGGTTGGTGTATGAGTGTATGTTCTGGTGGGAACTCCACAGGGAGGCTATGACAACATCTTCCAGGACGGTGTCCTGGTATTTGGGGTGTCCTCAGTAGAACCACACGACTAACAGCTTATGCTTTTCCTCCAAGCTTGGCTGGCTTAGGGAGACCAGGTGAACAGATTTAGAGGTGATTGTTTGAGTAAGAAACATTCAGGTTACCGAGTAAAAACATTCTTTCTTACTACAAGGAATTTCCAGAATATTTTCCCTCTAAAGTGTGCCTCCTGACTCTTACATGGTGACCCATGGACTTTTCTTGATTCGGCTCACATATACTCATCTCCTCCTGCATTAAAAAAAATTGTAACTAGTTTCCTGAGACACAGTATTACTTTTTAAGATTCAGCTATTTTTTTTTTTTGAGAATTATTATCATCTTAGGGTGGTGTCTATATTCTTCTGCTTATTAGTTTTCCCTGGGCCTTCACATTAAAAGTTATTAAAAGAAGGCTCTGCTTTGAATGTCTGGCTCATCAAGACCAAACACTAATTCTTCCCTTGTTTGTTTCTCCAGAATAAACTTCTTTTTTTTTTTTTTTTTTTTTTTTCTTCATGGCTTCTGCATAACATCACTGCTCAGTTTTAAAGTTCAGAGTGTACGTATTTAGAGTTAGTCTTGCTTTAGAGTTAGTCTTGCTTAAGTTTGATAGTGTTGATGGCGACTATCTAGGAAAGGCATTGATATGTTTTAGAAATGACATTCATAATGGGCTTAAACAAATGAATAGGGGCCACTCCACCCCCATTTTCCTTTTGTATGTGGATGCCTGTGTCTGATTCTTTAAAATTAAAAGATAGGGAATCAATTGGCAATGTTGCTTCTTATGAGGTAGTTTTATTTTGTGAAGTGTTAGTAATCGCAGATCCTGGAGGTGCAAATAAAGAATAAGTGGGAGAGAGAAAGATAAAGGTGGAAATTGGTGCTACTAAAAAGTAATTCCTAAGGTCTTAGAACCCAAGGACCTGAGCAGACTGCAGTAGTCAAAATATTTACCTCACTAAAAAACAGCAAATCTAGCGTAAGAAATTAAGTTTTGAAGTTTTAGAAACATTTAAAAAACTCTGTTTGCCATTGTTACATAAGTGTTTATATCTTGAGACAAGTTGATAATTGAAAAAAATCTGCTTATAGAATGTATATTTCTTAATGTATCAAAATGGTCCATATACCTACGGTAGCATCTGTGAAGACCACTATTTTTCTGTAGTAAGTTATTAACATTTGGCTGATTGGATATTGCTTCCAGAAGGAAGGAAAATACATTTTCAGAGTAGGTTTTTTATTGGAGGAAAACAAAAATATACATCCCTCTTTAGTAGCTAATCTTTACAAAGCCTGCTAGTGAATCAGAACCAAACACTTGCATCTCATTTTTGGAAGGCCCAAGTACTATTGTTCAAAATGCACTTTTACTGAATTTGAAAACTTTCTTTTATATTTAAAATAAGTTGGGATCAAATATGCTCACTCATTTTTTAGAGCATTTGTCTTTGCAAAGCATACATTAACTAGTAATTGGCTGCTAATTTTATAGACATGGTAGCCAGGGTAGTAAATCAATGACCTATTAAGTATTTTTGACAAGCAATTTACATATCTGATGACCTCACATTTTCTTTTCGAGTCTAATGCTATGTAATTGTTCCGTTGTGTGTTTGTATAAAATGAGTCACAACACGGTAAGGAAAAGGTTAGACATTAAAGAAATAACCAGACTAAAATAGTCATTTGAATTTATTCAGATTGTTCATAATGCTTTCAAAGGATATAGCAAAGCTTTTGGGGGAGTAACTGCTCATGCTTTATTATCTATGAACTAAATTGAGTTTCTGAAGTTGCTTTAAATTTTAAAAGCACCTTTGCTTAATATAAAAAAGCCCTCTAATTTTTACTGACAGATCAATTCTTAAACTTTATTTTGAGATGGAAATGGAAAGAATTTGTGTCTCTTGAATTAAAAGAAGTGAAAAAAAACAAAACAAAACAAAAAACCACACGCCAGACATTCTAAAAAAAAAAAAAAAAGAAAAAGAAAAAAAGAAATCTGATTTTTAGTACTAATGAAATAGTGGGTGACAAAATAGTTGTCTTTTTGATTTTGATCACAAAAAATAAACTGGTAGTGACAGGATCTGATGGAGAGATTTGACATTCTGGCGAATCACTGTCATTGATTCAATTATTCTAATTCTGAATAAAAGCTGTATACAGTGTGTGTTTATGCTACAGTGGTTTTTTTTTTTTTTTTAAGTGACTGACATTCATCAGATTGGTTAGACAGTTTAAAAACCTAGTCTTTGTTTTCTACCATGTTGTCAAGAACAAATAAAGTGTAATTTGTAGTATATTAAAAGAAAACTACTTAAAAATGCTACTTATAAAACTGCTTCAAAATACTCTTAACATATTTGAAAATGTATTTTGGAAATTTAGGTTGTAACAGCTTTAAATAGCTTTAAAAAAATGGAAACTTTAAACTTACATATGCAAATTACTTAAAAAAATTTTTTTTCTACTCTTTATCAAAAGCTGTGAGAGTATGGAATTATGATTCAAAATCCTAATGTTTCATATGAAAACTGGTTCAGTATGCTATGAACCCCAAAGACATGTCTATGTGGTTATAAATGTGACTGCCCAGTTCATGTTTATAATTAACAAAGAGTTTACCTGATGCAAGCTGAGTTAGCTCCGGTTTTCTGCTTTGTCTCAGCCCTATGTTCTGTAAAAATCCCTCATCAAGCTTCCATACATGTGTCCCCCAGTTTTCTAGCATGAATGTAGCTGTCAGTTTGAATTTCAATCCAGAATTATGTGTGTTGACATAATTTCGTAGTGCTGACTTCAATTGTTTAGGATTAAATAGAAGACCATCAACTTCTTTCTCTATGCTTTCTAGCATTCAAGTCCTTCATATTCATTAACTACTATAGCAGACTAATTACCTTTAATGGAGCCTTAATCCCAAAATATTATTTTGTCTTCATCAATTTAATCACAGGATGCATAAATGCAAATTCATTTTTATTATTGGTCTTCATATATTAGCAAACAAATTTTTCAATGTTTTAAAAAGCTTAGCATTTTTGGTGGCAAGTGACTTTTTAAGAAAGAGGAGATATGTTTTTCATACACATTTTTGAATTTCAGAATGCTTTCTACGCTACCCTCTGTGACACGCACTTTACCGTGAGCTACTAGTAAGCACCTTAATAAATACACAGCCATGACCATGGTATGGCATCTTGAACTTTTGACATTTTATTTAAAAGTACAAGTACCTATTTTCCTTAGAGGCAAGCATAAAACACATTTTAAAATGAAAGCATTTCTTCTGTATTATTTCTGTACAGAAATCTGGTATACAAAAAATGAAGAATGGTGGCATCGTTTTGCAATCCTGTGTTTTTCAAGAATTGGAGGGTCAGATCGTTAAGAAAAATATTTACATAAGCTCTTAGCACTCATAATTAGAGTGTCATAATTCTGCGTGCAACGACGAGGGAGGCCTCTAGAAGTCCAGGTGCTTCTTGCCTCCGGCCATCATGCCGCAGCCTGGGCCCAGCAGCTTGGTGGAGTCTGCCAGATCCGGTTTGCTCGAGCGGCTCACTGTGTCTGACAAGTCTGGAGGCAAATGCAGTCGCTATGGTTTGGGAGAAGGAAAGAAAGAAGAAAAAATTAATTTTGTTTTCACAAGCACACTTCAGGATACAATATGATGCTCTGTTGAGCGGCATTTAGCCTTGCATATAAAATTCCTACTGAAACAGTTCTTCAGACTGAAGCCCAATATAATCATCTGGCCCCTCCTAGATTTCACAAATTATAGCCATCACACAATCGGGACCAGGAATCTCGGTGGAACATTTCCAGAATCCAAACCTAAATGCATGAAGATTCTCTTATGTAGGTAGCAATAAAAACATGTAGATACATAAATAAAAGCATCATTGAAAAAAAAATCCACATAATAATGGCAGGCTTGTTTTTTGGCTTTGTTTTGGTTTTGCCACAGCTCTGAAATGCTATCTTTCAATCGAATACAGCTTTTCAGCAATTAAGGATTCCCATGAACACCTGCTTCCCTTGGTCTAGTAGGTTGCCCTGATGATGATTCTATTTCAAGGCTGTACTTTTCTAGGAACTTATGATTTCCACAGAAATAAATACTGACATAGTGAAAAAAATGATACCAATTGAAGGGTCAGTATTTTTCATGTGCTCAGCTGGGTCAGCTGTAACATCTGGCACAGGGTTATGTTTTTAAAGGTATAGTGCAGCTTTGACCACCTCCCCGTGCTAATTGTTTATCTTGAGATAGGGATTGATTTAAGCAGCTACAGGCTGCTTTAAGCAGTAACTTCTCATAATTACATAGGAGTTACTATAATTAAGGAGATATATTCATATTTCAAAAGAACTTTTAGGTTTTCAAAAGGATCTCTATCAAAATCATAAACATCCAACCTCACAGGAACATATCTGTGGTGTATAGGAGGCTAAAGATAAGTAAGGCAGGATGGGGCCGTCCACTGGTGACTGACCAAGGCCTTGTGAACTGACTTGGAGACAACTTGTCTGAGACACTTCATTTGGAAAACTCTGATATAGAAAAAAAAAAAAAATTGAAGATGGGTAAGGGTAGAAACATTTTTTTGGGGGGGGTCAAAATATTGTGATTCACAAGCATATGTTCTGGCGAGTTTCTTCCCCAATAAAAGGCTTGTTTATTGTCATGTAAACACAGTCTGTGTGCAGAGGCTCAAAATATGTTAACAGATTGAAAATAATTTATGAAAATATTTTTCCCTGATGGCAGTTTGTCTGCATGGACTTATTTTTTAATGCATATACATCTAGGATGAAAGACACTAGTATACTAGTACAGATATATGATCAACAAAGATGTCAGAAAGGTCAAGAAAGGCTGGAATATCCAGATAGGAACAGTCATATAGTATTATTCATTCCTTACCACCCAGTCTGTTGCACATTAAGTAATTAAATGCCTACTTCCGGACCAATAAGAAAGCTCGAATGAAGACATATTTGTTTTAAATAACCCTTTCATTTTTTGATGCCCTAGTTTGTCCCACAAAGGATTTCAGGCAGAAATGAAAGCATGAAAGCCCCAGGAACCTAAAGGATGGGCATGACTAAAGTCTGAGGCTATGGATGTCTCTGTAGGGTTCACTCTATCGCTGTTCATGTGAGGAAAAGAGACATTTAGTCATACGTCTGATCTAATAGGTTACAAAGCAAACCTACTAGTCCAAATTCTCTTATACTGTACTAGTGATTTGTTGTGTGAGATGGCCCTGAGTCCTGAAGTGCTGCCCTAGTGTCCTAGCTTTGGGCTGTGCAGAGCGGCCACTAACCCCCGCCCCCACAGCGGGCACGCAGGCTGGTATGAAGTGGATGCTGGGACCCCTGTGCCCCCATGGGGCCGTGGGAATCCTGGTGGAACCCGTGTGGAGTGGCCGCCATCTTGTGATGGCATTATGGTGTGAAGGTCAATTTGCATATTACCTCTTTATTATATAGGATATATCCTAAATACTGAAATATAAATATAGGGTACAAGAAGAATCCCAACAAAACCAAACTGTGTGCACATGTGTGTGCACACTTTTGGTTGGGGCCTCACAGACATGAAGCCAGAGGGTGATGAAGCTGATTAGGAAATCAGTGGGAGCCAACAAATACTAGGATTTAGAAGCGACTCAAAGCAAGGCATTCCGAGAGGATCTGTGAACAGAACGCCTTTCACACTGGGCCTTTGCTGACCATCCAGTGACGCCAACAGGACAAGCACGGGTAACCCCCACAGTGAGCCCTTCAGGTGGTGTCTCTAGGCAAGACAGAGACGAGGCAGAAGTCATGGTGGGGGAGGGGAGCAGGAAAAAGCTGCAGGAGAAGGGCAGGATGTTAAGTAATGAATTATTGCATTCTGACCCACAGAAAGAGTAGAGCTGCTATACCTTTAAGATCCATTTAGATGAATAGCTCTGATCATCTAAGTGAGTAAACTTGTGTAGTTTATTCAGAAACAGCATAATACAGTTTATTTTAGGAGCTTACTATTTGCTGAAAATTTCTCTGCCTCCGCTTCTCTAGGTGATAAGTGTGAGCCATTTGGTAGAAGCCCTTCGTAGCCAAGGCAGCTAAATGTGATGTGTGACATGCTTGGAAACCGTTCAGGCTGCTTGGCTCTGAAGTCAAAAATCCATTTGTGTGTAACTTCTAAGCACAACAATTTGGGGTGATGTGATTAAATGTTTCTAACCAAATGGGACATTGAAAAGCCTAGATGCATATGCCTTCCTTTGAAAAAAGCCTAAGGGGGGCTCTAGGAAATATGGGGACCTGTGTGTGACTTTGTCAGCTCTTGTGGATTATGACTTCAGTGAGCTCACTCTGCAGTCTAAGTTCTCAAGCAGTGGGTTTGTTTCCTTCTTCCCGAGCCTCCCCCTGTGCACCACGTCAGTGCGATGTGAAGTAGCGGGGAAGGAGGAGAGGCCAGGCTCCGGGCTTGCCAGGCGTGTCAGGGACTTCTCCTCGGAGGCTTCCAAAGCACTCACACACGTGACATGGACACGCTCCGATGCTGCTGCACCAGATCTGTCTCCGGAACAAGCGTGCTGTGGGGCAGCTACTCTGCGTGGCACGGTGACGTCCTTAACTCAGCTGCAAGGCTGGGGGCAGGACGGGAGGGGTTGAGTGTGAACTTTTTTCTTCTTCTTATTTTTTAGGTCGAAACCGGTTTGGCTCAGTAGATAGAGCTTTGGCCTTTGGACTGAAAGGTCCCAGCTTCTATTCCAGTCAAGGGCATGTACCTTGGTTGCGGGCACATCCCCAGTAGGAGGTGTGCAGGAGGCAGCTGGTCGATGTTTCTCTCTCTCATCGATGTTTATAACTCTCTATCCCTTTCCCTTTGTAAAAAATCAATAAAATATATTTAAAAATATATTTTTTAGTAATTGATTTTTAGAGAGAAGAAGGAGGTGGGGATGGGAGAAAGAGAGAGAGACAGAAAGAGAGAGAGAGAGAGAGAGAGAGAATGAGAGAGAAACATCCATCAGCCCCCTCCCACACATGCCCTGACCAGGAATCATACCTGCCACCTCTGAGCCACACTGGCCAGGGTGATATCTGAGCTTTTATACTTTGGGGTTTCAGTGTGCAATGGTTTAAATAAAAATCAGACTCTAAAAAAAAGGTAAATACTATTTTCAACCTTGTAAATGAAAGCAAGGCATTAATCTTTCTCATTTCTTACATCTGAAGTGGGAATCTTTCCACCAGATCTCCTTTCCCCCAGTTCTGGAAGGAAGGGATTGTGCTGCTGATGCAGGAGATGCATACCTGGCTGGCTGCCTATTTTCCCATCAATGCCTTGTCTATAATGATGGTTTTCATGTAGGTGATGGGACTTGGGAAGGTGTGACAGCTCCCAATTTCCCGCAGAGGCCTGGGCAATTTACAGAGGCCCCTCTAGACTAATGGGTCCTTTTTCTCTTGTGATACAAAGGAGGCAGGCAAAAATACCCTGGCAGATTTGGGGGGGCTCTTGCCAAAGGGCACCCTGGTCCATAATAAAGAAGGAGCAGTGCAAGTGCTTTGCTCTGTGGCTCTGGGAGGTTCCAAGCCCAGCCAGACCTGGAGATGCTTCCCCTCTGCATGCCTCTCTCTCTGTGGGCTAAGACACTGTCTGTATTTTGTTCCTTCTTGAGTCAGCCAGTAACCATACCCTATAGATACACAGGACTGCGTTTCCTGGCTCCACAGTTCCCTTCCGAATTCCTTTTCCCCACCTGCCAGACCTGTGCTCCGCAACTCCCAGCTCCCAGGCAGACGGGGCAAGATAATGAATCCAGATTACACTTGGATTTGAGACAAATTGCAGATAAATACCCATTAAAGTAAGTTTAATCAGTTTATAATTTTTTTTTTTTTGTATTTGGACAACACCAAACCACCAGGCAATGTTTGTTTTCTGAAAACAATTGATGTAGTACATTTTAACCCTTAGCAAATAAATAGAGATTTGTTTTCATCCTTTCAAAACTTCTGACATTCCCTGAAAAAGTCACACTTTGTGTATTTTTCACAAACACTGAAATAGGTGTGAATATTACCAAATACTTCCTAACAGTTTTTTTTTTCCTTTAAGACACAGCCAACTTAAACCAAAACTTGTAAACAGCTTAGAACACATGAGTTCTACACCAGCCCCTTCTCAGAGGCAGCCAGGCACAGTTTGCCACCTCCCTGGCACTTACTCTCTGTGGGACCTCAGCGTCCTCCTCTATCACCAAGGAATCAATTTTCCCCCCAAAGACTGTTTCCAGGATTAAATGAGATGCATGTGCTCTATGAACTATCAACTATTATACTAATTTATTTATATCTATTCTTGTTTAAAAAAAAAAAAAGGATTTGTGGTGACTCATAAAAATATGGTACCAAAGATAAAAATCAGTGTGTTTGTCAGGGCAAGAAGTGAGTCTACAAATATAATAAACCAACATAATTATAAGCAACAGCAAGAGAATACCGAACTTAGCCAGCAGGGCCCAGTCACTAAGCCAAGCCCAGGCATTAAGTAGGCACTGCTCCACTGAGGTTCTGCATAGAAATATA